TCACTTAAGTTGAATGTTAATATAAAGTGTGAAGAGAGTGTATGATCACTCACTATAGGCTGATGAGGACAATAAACACAGAAGTTGCTTAGTTCATATTTATTTACTAGATTCATGCTTGTTTTAAACTCAGCATTAGGAAGTGACAATGGAATCAACCAACCATGTTGTGATTTACAAAAAGCAGGACGAATTTGGTGAGAAACAACATGACTCTTGGCCTTCGAGAAGTTCTAGGAATGTCACTAACTGTGAATACGAGCAGCAGCCAAATCAATGGGTTGTTGAAACATGACAACAGTGGCAGCAGCTCTACACCAGATCTCACTACAGGGTCACTGAAACTGCTACAAGGTAAAACATAGGCTAATCTGTCTCTCACAAGCTTCAAGTAAAACATGGAATGTCTTTTAGAAGCTTTACCTAAGTGTTTAACCTAGAACTTCCAAAAAATGTCCATGCAAACCACCGTTAGCTTAGCGCTAGCAAACTACTTTTTTCATTTCATAGGGATGCTAGCAGAAGCTGTCATTATCGTAGACGTTTTTCCCTCATGTTTGGACCGAGTCTTGACATTGATGGCCCGAATCGAAGGCCGAGCTCTAATAGTCACGGTTCTCCACTGGGCAGCAATAATGACAGCGTATGGATGGGTGGACAGATGGAATGGATGCATGGATGAATGCATGGATGGATAGGTAGATAGACAGATAGATGCATGGATGGATGGATGCATGCATGGATGGATAGGTAGATGGATGGATGGACGGACGGACAGATGGATGGATGGGTAGATAGATGCATAGATAGATAGATAGATGCATAGATAGATGGATGGATGGACAGATAGAACTTTAATGATGCCGAAGGGCCATTGCAGTGTTACAGTAGCAAGACATAAAACTGCACATAAACTTACAGAAATAAAAATAGGAAAATAAATTCCAGAGACACATATTGATCACTTTAGGCCTACAATCTGCAGCCTTTGCTCACTTGAACATTAAACCCTAAGGCTGGCTGTACTGACAGGCACATTGTGGTCAGTGTGATGCAACAGCAGTGCTGACAATGTGTAAAGTTATGTAGGCTCAGTCTTAGATGGCTTCCTGCTTCCTGTGTAGTGCGGAAGTAAGATAGAAAGAAAGTTAAAACTAAGGACAAAGTTTAAACTCGTACAAAATGCAGCAGCATGTATCCTAACAAAAACAGAGAGATCAGATCACTCCTGTTCTGACAGAGCTGCACTGGCTGCCTGGATCTTTCGGGATAGATTTACCTTCTGCAGACCTTCAGTAAAATACAGAAAACGTGGAGAGACTCAGTTATTCTGCTTCTAAACTGTGGAGCTCAGTTCACCTTTTATTAGACAGTCAAGCTCAGAGCTCACTTTTAATAAACATTTAAAAATGTGTCTCTTTAACTTTTAATTTAATTTTAGTTAAAGTTTAATTAAAAGTCTCTTTGGTGTTCATTTGATTTGTCATTTTTATATGATTTTAAATAAGTGGTCATAATTTCTTGTATTAAGGTTAAGCTTTTTCTCTTTAAGCTGACACTGGCATGAAAAGTAATGTGTAAATAAAGATTATTATTACTATTATTATTATTATTATTATGTAGTATTAAATTAAGAAGGAGAATGAGATAGCTTAGAGGTTTCTGCATTAACCCTTGTGTGGTGTTCATGTGTTTGTTACTCAGTGGTCTGGTGGACTCACCACTGAAAATGGGTTATTTTATATGTTCTTTGCAGAAAATGAGCAAAAGGCCAAGAATCTGAGATTCGAATAATAATAAATCACATCATTTTTTTCTTTTGGTAAACATTGAAAATGGGTCCCACAGACCTGAACACCACACAAGGGTTAAACACTGCTTTATAGTGATGTGTGTGGCTGGTGTTCATGATTTGCTATTATTAGAGTAAAACTGATGAAATATGTCTCTCCAAGCTGATCCTGAGTCAGATAATGTAACAGTGTACGCATCTGTGAAAGAGGTCAACATGCGCTGTGCAAATTGGGCAGGGGATGATGTCTGGATAGTGACACTCTGGTACTTTTGTTCCCTGAAAGTTCCCATAATGCACCATAAAACTCATGAGTGTTGACCGTTCACTAGGGTCGTGTGATACTGATATAAAATGTGTTGTTTGATAAAGCTGTCTGATCACGATGATATGGGAAGCGTTGTTATTATTAAAATAGTGCACCTAGTTTTGGCCGTGTAAACAGAAGTCTAACTAAGCTCTCCTTTACACGAACAGCAAAATTATAAAAGCACTGTTTACTGTTGTGCAAAATAAAAAAAATGAAATACTGACAGCTGCTCACTTCAGAACTGCAAGCACTTTTTTGTGCACTGAAGCGCTGAGAAACAGTCAGTATTACCTCAACAGCTTTTCTATGAAGGCTACAAAAGGAAATAATTATGTATTTATTTTTTATGTAGGCACACAAGAACTATACAATACGTATTTTATTTGTATGTTTGTTTGTTTTTGCTTAATTATTAAATATGGTCACTGTCCAAAGGAAAACAAGTATCTCCAAAATGGTAACTTTACAGAAAAGCGCAAAAACCTTCTATACTTTTAATGTAAGTCAGTGTGAAGATATTTTATTCCAAGTAGTTTTAGAGCATCACTGTTTATCCATTCATCATAAAATCTCCACAGGATGTAAAGGACAGTCACTGTTCAAATGATGTAGAAAAATAAAAATCGACAAAAGTGGAGATACATGTTTGTCTTTGGACAGTGATGCTATGTTTGTTGTGACAGTATCATTACTGCCTCACACACTTTACACGTCCTACTGGTTGTGAGATCAGTGCTAATGTTTGATGTGTTTACAGGCGTGTAGTTCAGGGTGTGTTTGAGCTGCTGTGTGTGTTTTGTAACTGGTTGTTTAGCCGAATGGTCAGTCTTTTTTGTTTTTTAGAGAGAGACGTCACAAATCCATTGGCTCTCTCTGCAATGCATGGTAATGATAGCTTTCCCTAACCCACGGCTTTTTACCCTCTACTTATTTTACTTTACGTTAAGCTTAGTTTCAGCACATGGAACCTAAAATAAATGCTGACGTGCTTTGGAACTTAAGCTCGCTTCAGGGCATTAGAACTGGGTTTTTACCCTACAGCAGCTAGCTCTAACCTGGAACTTCTAGAAAAAGTAGATAATTATTCACTATTTTTAGATATCGCCCAGGCCTGGTCTCAAGGTTATCACAAAGTGAATGCCAATACACTGCAACTCACATATTTGGTATCCGCCTGTCTACTAAAATCCAAATGGAAGACAGTCATGTTATTAGGTAGGATTTTAACAAGTAATGAAGCAATCTGTTTTTTTTGTTTGTTTATTCTTTTCCCAAAACAATAAAATAGACATAACTGAACAGCAGCAAACTCTGCAGCACCTTTCAGGGATTTCAAAATACTTTATTTTTAAAAGACAAAGTTTTATAAAATAAAATATATATATATATATATATATATATATATATATATATATACTATGCACTGTTTAATGCAGACAGATTCAGTTCAAGTAAGTAGCAAACAGTGGTGTACATTCAGGTACCCACACTGGGTTAAATATTACTGTTAGCTGTAGCCTAAACATAGAAATATGAAGGTTGTAACAGACAAGTAACATTCTTTGCTTTGTTTTATTTTTATTTTTTTATAAAGTGAATCAACTTTAATCAGGTGACATCTTAGAATATCAATTGGAGGAATCTGTTAGCATTAAAACTAGTCTTATGCAGGGTGCAACATGCATTCCTGAGATCCTTTTGTTGTGGGTTTCTTCCACAAAAGTGACTAATAGCTCCCCCTTGTGGAGAATCTTCAGCCTTTAATTTGAATAACAGTCAGGATACTCTATCGTTGCCAACTTGGGTTGCACAATATCCTCATTAAAAGCTATGTTTAATAAAGTTGTTGGATATCGTTGTGATGATAAAGTGTAAGATGAAGTGTAAGAAGACATAAATTATGATTACAATAGTGCAATAAAAAAACAGAAAAAATAACTCTGCTTTACACAAACACAAAAACACATTACCAAAGCCCCATTCATTCTTGTACAAAGTGCATTAAAAATAATGTTTAAAAATAATGAAATACTAGTAGTTGCTAACATCGAAACTGCATGGAACTTTTTGAGAACTGTAAAGCTGGTAAAACAGTCAGCATTGCTTGAACAGCTTTTTTATATAGATCTGCAAAAAGCAAAAGTGTATAATGTGAAGCAGATGCCTATTTGGAATATTTGTCATTGATCCTACATTTTTACATTTATCCTACATTTATATAATACAGTACACAGTATATACATTATTTGTACATTACACATTGTACATTCATCCTATTTTCTTAACTTTTATTTGAAATTCACATTGATTCTCACTGGTTCTCGAACTGGATAGATGAAGGAAAATGAGCCGATAACAGAAACATTCAACCATGAAATAAAACATTCTAGTTTTTCATTTACCTTTTCAGTTTATTTATAGTTTAATACCGTTATAAAATTGAGTATTTGCTAGCCGTGCATGTTATTACATTGCAGTGTTTAATGCAGTAAGAAGCTTTTTATAAGTAGCCTTTGTTCATTTAGTCCTTGTTTTGTTAGCATCAAGCATTAGCATTTAAGCTCTGGGATCGAACTCGCGACCAGGGATCACCGAGTTTATTTTAATGGACAAAATAAACACTTATCAAGGTTTGAAAACGAACACATACATATTAACACCATCTTTCACAGTCTATAACTGCTGTAACATTACTCATCAGATCCAGCATTTAAAAATCAGGCTGACCAGTTGTGATCCATTCTCTGAGTAGCAGCAGAACAGATAACAAGTAATTTAAGTATTTTTATTGCAGGCTCGGCAATTATACGGGGCCCCTGGAGGAGGGAGGGTTAAATGCATTACTCAGGGGCCCAACAGTGGCAATTTAGACCCATTTATTATCATTATGTTGTGCACCTCTGTCGGGGTGTATCCTAGTCTGTTCATGAGTCCAGTGTGTCTGCCTTTTAGTTGCATTGCTTAAAAAAAAACTAGTTTAAAATCGCTATGACAAGTTCATCATTTCTCTTCTGTTCTCCTCCCACATTCTCAGAGTGTCGGACTTTGTGTTAAAAAACATCCCAAACTAATAGGTTCACTTTAAATGTCTGTTCTGTTTGTCTGATGCTTTGAACTCAAAGAATCATCTTGAATTATTTCTCTGGTAGATGTCACTTTGTGGGCATGCTTTCTGTCACTGTTGGTACAAAGTATTCAAGAGTATTCAATTTGTGTTGTATGAATATTTGAGAAGTATTATGCAAACAACCACTGAATTTTACAGACTGAGGCAACCCTGGTCTCCCCTCCTCATCTTTAGAAATAAAACTGACCATTGATTATTTTTTTCCTGATGCAGTTGAGGTGAGTTTGAATTACAGTGACACACGTGAAATTGTTTAGTTTACCATACTAATCCGTGTTTGCATAAATTTGTTCCTCCTCATAGTCGTTGTCCACGGCCATTTTCTCTGCTTCTTCATCTATGTTGATGTAGTCCTCGTCAGACACATCTGAATCCTCTCTCTGGTCTGGTCTCTGGTCCTTTTTCTGGACAGTGACTTCTGTATTTTCATAAACGTCATCATCGTCATCATCATCATCCGTCTCATTCCCGCATATGGTTTTGGCACCTAAGGAATGATTGACAAAATAGTTTTACTGGAAAAATTAAACATTTACATTGTTAACCAAATGTTACAGTAGCAAATATTTCTACAGCTAGTTTTAATATTATGTATATTATTAACAAAAAATTAAAAGCCTCATTTGGATTGTTGAAATGATTTAATCCCTGAACTATTCTGCACATTTTATAAAAATGTGTTCACCTCCATAATCATTGGGCACTGCCTTATTCTTGACATCAACATCTACATTAACATAGTCCTCATCAGAATCATCTGAATCTTCTTTCTGGTGAAAAACAGTTTCTGCATTTTCATAATCTTCACCGTCCATCTCATTATTTCCTCCGGTAACCCCATATGTGTTTCTGGCATCTACAGAAGGATTGTGTGGAAAAAATTAACTGGTTAACCAGATTTTATGGCAGTAAATGTCTCTGCACCACCATCTACACTGGATGTTATGCAAATACTAGTCAACAACAAGAGCTTCAGTTTAGTTTTCAAAAGACATAATGAAAATACTGTAATTAGTTTAGTTCAGAACAGAAAGTGCTCACGAAGTCTATGATCGGTCTTCACAGCCATCTGATGATCTTTTTGGTTTTTGCTTCTCTTTATGAAGAAAATGATGATTGGCACTAATATGAGTAACAGTCCTGCTGTCACTCCAGAAGCGATGAAGGGAACTGGTGACGCTGCAAAGGAAATCACCATCAAGACTTTCTTGCTTTAAACAGAGAACAAATCAAACAAGACTAGTTACTGTACCTTTCACAGTGACAGCCAAGAGTTCAGTGGTAGGAGAGTTAAAGGTGCGTGAAGACACGTTTACTTCATAAACACAGCTGTAGTTTCCCTGGTGGACAAAATCTGCCTCATCAAAGAAGAAGGTAGTTGAGTGCTTAACAGCTGACTGAGTTCTGGTGATGTTGGATCCACTGAACTTCAAGTGGAAGGAGCCTGCGTGGAGTGGTTGCGTGGAGCAGATGATGGAGAAGCTGTAGCCCCTGGTCGCCTCTTACCCTTGAAGCCACCAATGGGACCTTCCATCAGGAGCACTGAAGGAGATATTGGGCTGCAGCAAATTCACTGGAAAACAAGAAGAACTCATATAGAGAGTTGCAGACTGATGGCCAAGATTTGATGGCCAAGAAAATATGATGTGTCTCATTCACAACCAAGAAATTAAGAGAACTGCTCTGTGGAGAACTGAAATCATGACTGGACACTCTGGTCTGGTACTGGCAGTAGTAAGACCTCATGAACAAAGTCCATTTTAGGAGCACTCAAGGTGACAGAGGTCCTGCTCTTGGTTAATCTAAGACCCCCTTTACGGCTGGTTGCTTCATGTGACTAGTATTTGGATTGTGTTTTGATAAGATTTTAGCCACATGAATTTACATGTAGTAGTCACATGTGTCTCTGGTTAGGCTGGGCGTATACTACACGAGAAACGCTGATATCACACCGGAGAAATATTTCATCAAACACTGGCAGCTGGCTTGAAATTGTAAAGAGAGTAACCTAAGGTCTAGATCCAGACATTATAAACCTGATAACGGCTCTTATCTGACTGTGTTTTACACACAGCTCCTCTGTCTTCGCTTTGCTATTCAAACGGTGTGCATGTGCATCTCTTTGTAAATGTAAATGTAAATCTCTTTGCCTGTTTCTCCGCTCTTCTAGCTCTCTGATTGGCTGTTGTTTGAATCACTGACTTAGGACATGTCTGACCTTCTCACACTACAGGAAGTTTGGAGTTGAAATGATCAAACATGTTTGATAAAATCGGAGGGCCTCCAATCACTTCAGAGTTTGATCAGAGGGCTAAAGATTCACTTCACCAGACCATCCACGTTGTCAGTCGCTTCCGATCAAACTAGTGGCCTGGAAAATCGCTTTAGGTTAATTAGGGTTAAAAATTGAGCAATAAATTGTGTAGTGTAGACTTTAGTCAGACTGAAATCCAATTGCTGTGTGGGATGGAATATCGTAATATTCGAGATGCACAAAGTGACCAGATGTAAATGGGGTCTAAATGACCCAGAGCACTATATCATAGTAAAGGATCCATCTGTGAACTGTGTTTCTACAGAGCAGGTGATGTTAACCTTCTCTCCCCATGTGACCTCTTTGGTAGGAATGAGAGAGATGCTTGGAGCAGGTAGAGTAACTAAAAAATGATATTTGCCATGAGATTTTCCTGGTTAGTCCAAATTATATCAATTAAATGACCTCTTAAATCCTAGTTTGGTTTGTTGAATTAAATTTTAGAAAACAAAAGATTATGAAGTCTCATTAAAAACATTAAAAACAAAAAAGTGCTAACTAAACATTAAAGCCTGAGAAGCAACCTCCAACTTGCAGCTGGTTGGTTTGTTATGGTACCCCATTGAAAACATATAGATTAGAGGTGCCAGTTTTGAAATGATTTGAAACAAGCTTTCGATTTTATTCTTCCAAAGAAGAGATGAGATCACAGCTTATTTATTTAATTTTTCCCCTTGGCAAACAAAGGGCAGTTGTTCAGATTTGAACCCATCTGACGTGTGTGCACACAGTTTGCTACCTTCTTAGTTTTTTGTGGAAGGTACATTAGGGCCTTGGTTTCTTTTTTCGCAAATCAGTCCATTACATTAAGTGTGTTTATTACCTTTTTGGTAATCGAGTCGTGTTCGCTCCATCACATGAAAGGTCAGGTGGAAAAACACTAGGGACGCTAGTGCAGGAGGAACATATTTAAATAGCTGCAATATTAGCAGAGAATTGATGACAAAAAATCCAAAAAGAATTAGTCTTACCCACAACAGAGAACTGAACAGAGCTGCTCTGTGGAGAACTGAAATCACGACTGGGGACTCCGGTCTGGTACTGGCAGTAGTAAGACCCCTCATGAACAGTCCACTTCTGTTAAACTGAAGGTGACAGAGGTTCCACTCTTGGTCTCTCTAAATGACCCAGAGTTCTGTATCAGAGTGAAGGATCCACTTGTGAACTGGGTTTCTACAGAGCAGGTGATGTCAACCTTCTCTTCCCATGTGACCTCTTTGGTAGGGCTGAGAAAGATGCGTGGAGTGGGCAGAGTAACTGGAAAATGATGTTTTTTGGCATCAGTTTTTTTTTTAAGGCTGTTCCAAATTATAAATATTAAATCACATCTGAAATGCATCATTTGACTTAATTAAATGTTATCTGTTGGCAGTAATAGAAAACAATCGATCAAGAAACCTCATTAAAAGTATTAGAAAAACAAAAACACTGAATAAACATTAAAGCCCAAGAAACACCATCCCACACAGTTTGATACCTTCTTAGTTTTTTGTAGAAGGTCCTGGCACACTAGCACCTTGGTTTAATTTTCATGAATCAGTCCATCACATTGTCTTTTTACACCTCACATCAAATATTCGTTTGTGGGCTGATTGGCTTATGTTCAGATTTCACTCAATGGCATGTAAAGACAAGTCTAAAACACTCAGGATGCATTGTGATCTGATTACAATCAGTTCACTCAAACCATATTTGGAGGTGGTCAGACATGGAGCTTGACCACATTCAACACAAGTGTAAATGGAATGCGTTTTCCACATATTATGTAAGCGGATAAAGAAGGAAACACAAGATGGAAGGATGGAGGCTATAGTTCCCCAAACCAGGTGCCTTCTTGCTCTCTAGGCCAATGAAAGCGTTCAAGCCAAGCCTTTGATTTGTATCATAACAGAAGAAAAAAGTAAACACAAGAAAAAATGATGTATGTGTTGAGGTGCTTTTTAACATGGGAAAGTAAAATTGGATCTCATGTGGTCACACATTTATCTGCGTTGTTGCTGCTGCAGTTTATGTCCCCCAGACACTAATGTGGCTATTGAAGATCTTTGTGCTGCTATTAGCAAACTGCAAACTGTGCACCCAGACAGAGCCTTTATTAATCCTGGGGACTTAATCACAGCAATTTAAGATTGGTACTTCCAAAGTTTCATCAGAATGTCTCCTGCACCACAAGTGGACAAAAAACTTTCACCTTTACACCAGTGTGGCTAACGCCTGCAAAGCCACACCCCTCCCCCACCTAGGACAGTCTGACCACCTCTCTGTTTGTTCCTGCCAAGTATACCCCAGTCATCAACCATGTGAAACCCACAACAACATCTGTGAAGATCTGGATGGAAGGAGCTGACTCCTTTCTTCAGCAACAGTTCCAGCACACAGACTGGAGTGTATTTGCAGCCCAGGCCACCACAGACTCTCATACTAACATTGACATCTACACCAACTCTGTCCTGGATCATATCAACAGCTCTGTGGACAGAGTGACAACTCACAAAAAAAAAAAGACCTTCCCTAATCAGAAGCCCTGGATGAACAGAGAGGTTGGCCTTCTGCTCAAAGCAAGAGGTCTTGAGACCAGGTGGCTTACAGCTCAGCCAGAGCCAGCCTCTGAAGACGTATCGCAAAGGCTAAACACTGCTACAAATAGTGGATTGAGGAGCACTTCAACTCCTCTGACCCCTGGCGTATGTGGTGAGGCACACAGTCATTCACTCACTTCAAACCACCCAGCACTGTGCCCCCTACCGACATTTTCAATCTGTTGCTGGCCCAGGCAGCTACAGATACAACTAGCTTCAAGAGCTTCATTTAAAGTCCTGTCTGCCTGTTACACTGGACCCACACCAGTTTGCCTACCTTCAACAGGTCAACGGAGGACGCCATTTCTACGGTGCTCCACACTGTACTGACCCACCTGGACTGTCAAAACTCATATGTCAGAATGCTGTTCATTGACTTCAGTTCAGCATTTAACACAGTGATCCCCTCCAAGCTGATCTTAAAGCTTAGCCAGCTTGGTATCAGCACATCTCTGTGCAATTGGATTCTGGACTTGCTGACTGACAGACCTCAGTTTGTGAAGTTAGACAAACTTCTCTTTTCCCTATCACCCTGAACACCGGCGTGCCACAAGGCTGTATGCTGAGCCCTCTTCTGTACTCCCTGTTCACCCATAACTGTGTTCCTGTTTATTGCTCTAATTCCATAATTAAGTTCTCGAATGACACCACAGTGATCGGTCTGATCAGAGGTGATGACTAGTTGGGATGCTGTGTGTAAAATGTAATTAAATGTAAATAAAACTGAATGCTATAATTTGCAAATCTCATAGTCCCATATTTTATTCACAATAGAACATAGAACACATATCAAATGTTGAAAGTGAGACATTTTACCATTATATTAAAAATATTAACTCATTTAGAACTTGATGGCAGCAACGCATCTTAAAAAGTTGGTACAGGACCATGTCTACCATTGTGTAGCATCCCCTCTTTTAACAACAGCCTGTAAACGTCTGGGAAATGAGGATATATGTTCTGTGTTGTATTGTGAATAAAATATGGGTCTATGAGATTTGCAAATCATTGCATTCTGTTTTTATTTACGTTTTACACAGCGTCCCAACTTTTTTTAGAATTGGGGTTGTACTTTATATCTTAGTATTACTGCACTATTCATATTTACACCAACAATTACTGTACAAGTTTACTTTGCATACTTTTACATATGCTGCTCTCACAGTACATACTACCTCATTGTACGCTTTCCAGTTACTCTATATATATATGTATGCTATATTTATACTTGCATATCTGTATTTTTTTACTACTATACGGTCCTTCTGCACTTTATATGTAAATAATACTGTATTTTGCGCTTCTGGTTAGATGCTAACTGCATTTCATTGGGTCTAATCTTTAATCTAGATGGTATCTAGCCAAAGTACATCCAGATAAAAACAAGACATGAAACATGCTAATGCAAAATTTAAACAAGCTCATTAACCACAGCTCTATATTACAGTAAGTCTTTCTGTCTTTCTCTAATGGCAAGATGTACTAATTAATAATTAATAATGTACTATTGTCCTCCTCAGACAGGTGAGTAAATGGC